TAAAACATTTTTATCAGATCAGAAATCTTTACTCCACACATACCCCTTTTAGGTTTAGAAACAGAATCCAATTGCTGCATTTCTCTATAATTAACCCTTCATGTTCCTATCAGATGTGCCAATGTAAATTTCAAAGTTTCAAAAGAAAAAAAGTTTGAAAATATTGTCACTTGCCTTGATTTTCAGATATTCCGATATTGGTGCAGTCTCTATCCATTCATGGTCAGCAAATTGCAACTGAACTCTGAGGTAAATCCAGGTGTGTTCCTGTAAATTGCTGAAAGGGAAGAATCCTTGGATGTATCCCTTTCTCTGGCCATCCGTTGTGTTCAGTTTTTATTCTAGATAGCAGCTGAGCCTCCACCAGGACACAGGGTTACCATTATGGTGCATTATGATAAATATATTGGATTTTTAAACTGAGCCAAATAGCACAACAGCTCTGAAACAAGGTAAAAATTCAACTTAATCCAATGAGGACTTTAAGGAGAAGACCTGGTTTCCTTACATACCCAATATATCAGTTCAAAAAGACAAAAGAATCCTCCCTCCATTCACTACATGCGGATGAGTCAGCAGTCTTGGGCACAACCTATTGTCCCCCCAGGGGTCCTTGATAAACAAATCAGTGAAGAGAATGTCATCTTCAAAGGAAGAACTCTCATTCCATGCTAAGGTTCTCCAGGAGAATAATCCTAGGATCAGCCTCAGGCTTTCTTAAAGAGGCTTCTGATCAGACTTCTGGGATTCCTTGAGCAGCTGGGTTTTCTGGATCCATCAAGCCAAAATGTGATTTGCTAATTTCTCTCTAGTAGTTGGTGAGGACCCAGCCATGTGGTTTAATCAATGAATAATGTGGCTTTGAGGATTGCTAACTAAAACTCTTTAAGATCCTCAACAAAGGATATATATGCTTAGAGTTAAGGAAGAAGTTTGGCCCCTTAAAACTGTGGTTAACTTTAACTAGTGTATAAACAACAACTACTTAATCCATATTTACAAATCACAAACGATGTTTGAACCCAACTGGCTTGTAGAGCAAATGCTTGGCTTAGAAATATGTTTATTTTAGTAACAAAACTGAGTCACATAAAAAGGTCCTAAGCCCTTAGATTTTTATCTTTCTTCTTTTCTGGGGAAGGTGGAGGGATTCTGCTATTGGTATGTAGCTCAACGTCAGAAATCCTTGCTAATGGATTAGAAATTTTTCAAAAAGATCTACCAGCAGATCCCAGTTTATATTTTGCCCACCCATTTCTTTGTTACAGCTGCATATCACTCTGAAATTATTCCACAGGTATATTGTTACACCTTGGGAGAGGGAGGAAGAAATGGCAGTTGTTGGATTTCTGCTTGCTATTGTGCTGTAAAAGGCAGAGGAACTGAGTGAAGGCATAATTAGCAAACTTCCATTTCCCTATTGCTCTGGATCTCCCATGAAATTGCTTACCTATTTCTGATAACCATATGCTGGGTAAGGTTCCAGGGACACAGCAAGCCAAAAACTAGTTAACTGCATTTTAGCTTATTGTTTCTCACCTTTAAGACATGTGGGCTTCAACTCCCAGAATTCCCAGTCAGCCGTGTTTTAAGCATCTGATAAAACTGGGTAGCCCTGTAGGCAGGATATACACTGTAATTTACAAACATTATTTGCAGCACTCTAATCTTCATGTTTTTAACATAATAAAGTATCCCCTGATTTTCTTTCAAAGGAGGTGACTCTCCACCCACAACCTTTTGTTAATAATATGTTTTTTTCCTCATCTTTTTAGTGAATGCTAGGAGGAGGTGGATGGACATGGTAAAACATAAACACTAGATCAGGGGTGTCAAACTGCCGGCCCGCAGGCCAGTTTCATCATACCGGAGCCACGCCCACCCCATTGCCGGCAATGGCGAAAAAGCTCCGATACGTCGTGCGACGTCACATGACGTCGCGAGTTTGACATGCCTGCACTAGATGAAGAATCAAAACTTTGTTTTATCAGGTAAGCTATGTTGGGTTGTTATCCTGCTGGACAAGAACGTATATCACTGACTGTTGTATCTTATGATTTTTGGTGATTGTATTTATGATTATGATCATGATTTATCACTTGTTGCTTGTATGTACACTGAGAGTTTGTGCACCAGAGACAAATTCCTTGTGTGTCCAATCACACTTTGCCAATAAAGAATTCTATATTATTCCTTTATTCTAGGTCAATACTTAAGATAACCTTCTCCATGTTGGCCAGTTGCAGTCCCAAGACATCTGCGGGCGCCAAGTCAGGGCAACTGATTTACCATAATCCTAGCAGAGGATTACTGTAATTCAATTCTTAACAGAAAATTCAAGAAACTGAATTCATGTATTATGCACTGTCCATTGAACTTAATGGAGTTTATTTTTGGGTACATATAGGATTCCATTGTTGCATCCTTTGGACTCTTTCCTAAGAACAAGTTTGATGAGTTCAGGACAGCTTACTCCTAAGTTAATATGTTTTTGCTACCCAGGATATACTATTGAAAAAGCAACAGTTATGCAATAACAACAGTCTCCCACATTTTCCACAAAGGTGATGTGGAGACCACAATGAATAACACTTTCTAGCAGTTAGAATCTCTTGGGTTCAGATATTGTGTTTAGTTGGTTTTAACTATGGGGTTTGAAGAAGCCATAATGGCAGGGTTTGGCAATCATGCTAAGTCAAACACAGTCTCAAACCACATGGGAGGCTTGAAGTGCAAATTTACCTGATCTGTACTTTCAGTCTAAATACAGATTCCTTTTTTTAAAAAAAAAAAATCATTTTCCTTACACAAGAAATATTACTTGGCATAATAATATTGCTTGCATGTAAAACAACCTAAATATATTTTTTGCTCTCTAAATGAAAGATGAATGAAGCCTAGTCATCCTATATGTAGATGTTGAATTCTAACTTCACTTGTGGCAATGAGTAACATGCAGTATTGCATTGCACCTGGAAGTAATAGTCTTAAGGAATGTATACAGTGCCAAACAATATGTACTTTTCAGTCTTTCCCTGAGTCTCAGCATCTCACTGATTAATAGAAGAGTTGGTCCAAGCTCTGTGAGAGACCATAATGGTCTTCTTCAGATTTTGTAGGTAGTTCACTGTTGATTAGGCTACTTTTGGCATCTGCTTATTGTAGCAGTTGATTATGGACCAGGGAAATATGAAGAATATATGAAGACTATACCTTTAAAAGTGGAATCATATGAGCATTTGCTCAAGAGAAAGTTGTACTGTATTTGATTGATTGCTAAATTTCTAACCATATGATAGGATTGGCTGGTTAGTCCTAATTTAAATAAGCCCTACAACTAAATTTTAAAAAAAACCTATTCAGAGAAATTATAAAATGTTCTACTGTTTTGACCTTTAAGAGACATAAAACAATTAGAACATGGGTATGTAGCCTTTTTAAGAATAAGGGCCACACTCGACAGTTTTTTATATGGAGAGCTAAAGGTCATACTACTCATAAATGTGTGATCAGGGGAAAAAAACTAAATAAATATAAATATTTAATTAAAATAAACAATAATTATTCTTAATAAATTCAGTAATGTTCTTTTGTCATTTTTAAACTTAGGTAGCAACTTTTAGATGGTTTCTGGAGGTTTATGGGGGGTCATACAAAGGGTTTGTGGGATATAAGTGGGTCTCTGGAAAATTGTACTCTATATATTTGATTTTAACATTTTAATAACAATATCAAGAAATGCCAAAAAGACACCTTGATGAGGAAAATGTTTTTATGTTACTTTTCACAATAATAAATATCCATTATATAATGAAGAAGGAAACATGTAGAGGAACACATTTACTTTTGTTAGTCAAATCACAAAATCTTTAATCAAACAGCAACTGTACAGCCATCTCTCTTAATAATTGGAAACCAGTAAGGATAATTGTAGGACTTCGGCAATATTCCAGAAGTTGTATTTTGTAATAAAAATATTGAATTATTCAAGCCAGACATTTCAATAGAAACAGAATGAAAAAGAAATTAAAACAGCTTTGAAAAAGTGATTTATTTTTGTGTTTTTTTTCTCTTCTATTTTTCAGGCAACCTCCACAAAAACACTATGTTAGAGTCCAAGGTGGGATTTATATGTGAGAGAATTTCAGCTTTGGTGTACCAAACAACTTGTTTCTTTATCAATGCATTAGCTGACATATTATGTGTCTGGGTCAAGAGCAATGGAGAAATTTGAAAGAATCTTTGTATGAGTGTCAAATGTGCTTTGTGAGGAAAACATCTTTACTACAACATGGGGTATGATTCTCATGAGGCGGTGAGATAACAGCTAATCTGTTATCCAGTGATGTTTTCATGGGTTCATTTTAAGCAGTGAAGGCAAAAGCCAACTTGTTCCACTATGTAAAAGTTTGAGGCAGGATCTGGGTCCCCCGATTCCATTCTCACACCTGAAGAGTGAAAGGGTAGTCCAGGCTACATATACTATATATCTCAACTCCCACCTCAATTCAACTTTAAAATAGGAATAGCCCTATCTCACTGGGTTGTGACGGCAGTGAAAAAGTTGAAGAGTGTAAGCCACATTACAAGTGTAAGTCACATTACAATTGTATGTGAACTGAAAACAGTTTTCTATTTTAAAAAGTACACCAATACTAGGTACAAATGCTAGTTGTGTATGAAACAATATCAGATGCACTCACAGTGTTTCTTCTCATTCCCACATCAAAAATGTTTGGAAATTTGTTTATAAAGGGAATATTGCAAATATTTTACTCCAAGGGACCTATCAAATCAACAGGTGGCTTAATAATGAGTCAACATTGATCCATGTGACTCAGACATGGAAAAGCTTATTCTTCATTAAGAATAGGAATAGTTCTGAAATATTTCAGAGTGTAACCCATTCTGTACTTGACCCAGGGCATCAAAGAATCTCAAGGAGGAACAAGAAGACTGGGACAAACAAGGATAACTGGAAATTGAAATCTCTCTTAGTTTTAATCATCTTTGTCTCTGGCTCCATGCTTCAGGATACGGGTGAACTCCACATAGTTAAAGTTGCCTTTCTTATCAATTGGAGCTTCTCGATACATCTCATCTACTTCCTCATCTGTAAAACGATCACCCATGGTGGTAAGCAGTTCACGCAATTGATCTTCATGAATGAAGCCTGCATTAGAGATGAAGAAGGAAAAGGAGGACTAAGATGTGTCCATTAGAAGAAAGTAACCTTCTAAGCTGCTCTCCATGAGATCTGGTAAGATGGCCAGCAGGAGTAGCACAGGTGATTAAGAATGCTGCACTGGTTTTAGTGAATTTCTGAAATGAAATGTGTCCTTCCTAAATCATTGCTATTTGAAAAAAGGATTTCTATTATTTAGCCCAAACAATCTTTTCTCCAGCAGTTTGAGTGCTGTTTCTCTCAGGGATATGAAACCTGTATCAGAATGGGGATTGTGTTTGATATTATGCCACAGATGACACTCCCTAAAATGGTTGACACCCAAAACCTGTCACCTAATTAAAATGAAATAATTTGCTTCAATAAATTCTTCCTCCTGTCACATTAAAAATAATCATTTAGAAGAAACATTTGAGGCTGCATATAAGACTTTTATGGGAGGAAATTACATGCAGCCTAGACTTATAATGTACACCTTTCATTCATTTCAATACAAAGATCTCTTAGGGGCAAGACTGATTTAATTTAGTATTATGGAAGAAAAAAAAAGATTTGTTTTGGGTATCTCAAAGAAATTCCACAAAACCTAGCCCCAGACACTATAACTGGTTCATAATACACCCAAGTGAATCTATAGTATTGGATCTATCTATTGCTGCAAGCTCTCACAGATGGTTTAGCAGGAAATTCCCAGTTGCATTACAAAAAGGATCTGTTCTGATCATACCTGTGGCTTCCTCATCAAAGCAGGCAAAAGCATTTCGAATGACATCTTCTGGATCTGTGCCATTCAGCTTCTCCCCAAACATAGTGAGGAACATAGTGAAATTGATGGGCCCAGGTGCTTCACTCATCATTCCTTCCAAGTACTCATCTGTAGGATTTTTCCCTGAAAGATGACAAGACAAGAAATTAGGCTTTCATTCAGTGCCCTGGTCCAATTGAATTCTTCTGTAAAAACTTATTTTGAGGAGACGATTAAAGATTAGGGAATTAGAACTGGAATTACTCAGCCTTTCTTTTGCTGCATCAAATTTGGTCCCATTTTATTCTGGTTTAGGAGGGTTATCCTGAGAATGCACAGATGGACAGATGGAGTCTAAGCCTTTTATATATTGTTTTCCAACTGTCTATTGGCTTAGAAGCAATAAAAAGAAATGCTATTTAAGTTTTAGGGATAATCTGAACAGTAAGACTGGACCTTTGGTGAGGCAGTTGAAACTTTCGAAGGCCACTACAAAATTATAATATTGAATATGTGAGAAGGGGAAATTATTAAAGGGAATAATCCTGTTGATTATGTTTAATTTTAGTTACATTTAAGCATCAATGGCATGAATACCAATTGTGATTTTATCCTACTTCTCTACCTTTTGGGCTCTGTTTCCCCAGCATATGATTCAAAGGCCATGCAATCCTTAGCATATTGCATGACATTAGCCAGTTGTGGTATATCAACAATTAAAAGAGCTATGTTTTAGTAGAAATAAACCAGCATTAGGATGGACTCGGACTATCAGCAAAATCTTAAACATTATTAGATGTAACCTGATAGATCTAAGATCTTACCTTCAGATAAGTCAGTAGAAGATTCCTAGAATCTTCTAAGGAAGTCAGTTGAACAAATTATGATGTTATGTCTATTCACATAGCATGGTAAGCCAATTAAAGGAACATGTTCTGCCATCTTACCCATGTTCCACAATTGGTTATATTTTTTACCAAATTGTTAGATTTATTGTGTTATCCAGCTCCAGAGTGGTGTCCTTTTTCGGTATACAGAAACAGAAATCTGTACTAGAGGGACCTGAAGGGGACATTTTAAAATTCAAAATATTGATATGGCCACACAGTCAAAGCCTCACCTCTTTTTAGTGTATTCCATGCAACACAGATAAAAGGGCATTGGGCTTTGATTGCACAATCACAACTTCCATCTTGACTTTTTTGACCTGCCCTCCAATAGAAGACCCCTGGTTTGTGTTTACATATGTCTGTTCAAAAATAAGTTTCACTAAGGAATTATTTTTAGTAAGTTTGCACAGAATTGGACCCTAAAATTGAATCTAATTGGGATCTTTTTTGTTTGGATAACATAATTCTTCATAAATTAGATAATGGAAAGTGAAGAACAACAACAACAAAAAACTGTATAGTGTGATAGCCTGGTGGTATTCCAGCGGTGTTAGTGCCAATCTACAGGGATCACAACAAAGATCTTAATCTACACAATATGAGCCTATCAGTTAGGGTAATAAAATGTCCCGGTGAAAAGGGATTACAGTAGACTCTTTGCTCCTCCTCTAAGTCAGTTTCTGAGGAGCTTCCCCTGTAACACCAGACCAGTGCTGGGGGAGGGGCTTGGGAGATGGAGTACTAAAAATACAAGGAAACAGAGGTGGAATGGCTGTTGCAATGGGGAAAAAATATACTGGTGAAGAAATATTGCCCAGTGGGTATAACTGGAGAGGAAATCCCAGTTTGCTACTATGTGCATGCACTGGAGCCTTCAGGATCCCAATTACAACACTCCTTCAAATTTGGTTCATCATTAAAGAAATCAAAATACCATTTTTACTTTCACAGCTGACTGCCCTCTAGGGGCCATCTGTAAAGGTGCTTTTCATCCTCTACATTTTAACACCTTCCTGATTCCCTTCTGGTTAATTCCATCCTCCACAGTCATTGTTTTCTTGCCTTATTTTTTTTTTAAAGTTTTTTAGCAGCTTCATGGTGAATTTTCTAGTACCTTGGGAACCGTTCAACAACTCTGGATTCCAACAACACAGCAAACTGTAATGTGGTTGGCAAATTGTGCCTCAAGAGTTGTTCAGCGAACTTAATGTGTTTTCTGGTTCAATGGGTTGTGTGAACTCAGGCAGTTGAATTGATTCAATAAGCCATTCTTTTGTTAGTGTGTTGTATGCAGTGGTGGGATTCAAATATGTGAACAACCAGTTTTCTGTGTGGATGCCGCTTCCAGAAGTCCATTCTGGGACTGGGCAACAAAAAATTAGCTACCGGTTCTGCCGAACTGGTGTGAACTGGCTGAATCCCACTACTGGTTGTATGTACACTGCCAAAGTATCTAGAATATAGGTAAACTATATGATTTGGATTTCATCATCGGCCCAGTTTTGAGTAGACAGTTGTAGATAATTGCATAAAAACTGTCTGCAAGAAAAAACTAGATGATGAAGAATAGACAATAGATCTATGAAGTTAAGTAGAACTCCATTATTAGGGGTAGTATTTCTTAATTATAGGACACTCAGGTATTTCTCTTTGGAGAATGCTTTGTAAGAGCATGTAGCTGACTACTGTAAGAAAGAAGCTGAACTAAATTATAACTGATTTAGCACAGCAATTTATACCTAAGTGATCGGTCAAGGACGAACTGTAATTAATTGGAAAACGTCAGCATTTGGCATTGGTTTTCAGAAAAAGATTCTGACCAGGTTCTACATCAGAACTGTATTAACTTCTTTGGTCTGATGTTGCAGTAACTTGTTATGTAAGTGCCGATATTATAATTTGTAAACTTTGATATATGGTTCAGAGTACTATATTAAAGAAACCTTCCTGTAATGTGTGAACCCAGTCTAAAAGTAAACAGTTCATGTCTGGCACTTAAGAAAGAATGCAGTCTGAAACTGAAATGTCTATGGTGGGGAGATCATGCATTCTTCAGAAGTCTCAAAAATATCAGCATCTGATCCAGTGCAACTTTAAGATGTGTAGAATTCTCCAGGCAGCAAAAGCTTATTCAAGTATATGAGGCATAATCCTCAATGTAGCGCCCACCAGAAGAACTGACTTTCTCCCCCCATCATATTCAACAGGATGGCCACAGTGATGGATGTAATAGTAATAGTAATAGTAGTAAAGTTGGAAGTAGTAATGTTGCATCTAGTAGTTCTGGAAGACACCATATTGGGAGCAAGATAGGGAAGACAACAGTCAGAGGGACACACTATGACTTCCACAGTATTATCTTTGATAGGACCTCTCACATGACCACAGTGGGTATTAAAAGAAAGGTCAAGATGCCCTGCCTCTTTTTAATATGCATTGCACTTGCAAAGCATATCAAAGGACGTGAACCTTGACTACAGAGTTGGTTTTCTGACTCCCCTTCAGGAGTCCCTGGATCTATCTTATTTAGTACAGTATAGTAGAGGAGAGGAGACAGAGGAAATATTCTTACTAGAACATTTAGTCCTCTAAAGTGTTTAGGGCCAACATATGCACAAACATTAAATGGCAGTATATAATTAATATACTTTGCTATCTCCTACTGTTCATCTCTATTTTTGCAGAACTGCATGCCATTTAGTGCTGCTAAATGTATAGCTTATTTATCAATTAAAATGATATTAATATGTCTTGATTGGCCTACCTGATCATAGGTTTATCGATAATGTACTTATACCTATTTGAATGAAAAAATGATAATATCAAATGTCTAAGAATTGCTAGCTATATGATGACTTTTAATGCTAAATTTGCAGGACATTTCTATGGAGCTCTTTATACCAGAGGCAAGCAAGTCTTTGGCATGGAGGGACTAGACCTTTCTTATTTCAATGGTTAAGGTCACAGGAAATAGGACAATGACTTGCTGGATGGAGTTATGCCCCATTTTGTACCCTCTCTGTGTGTGTGTGCTATTCTGTGTTGAATTTTCTAGTGTGTTAGGCCCTAGATAGATGGTATCCCACTTGCAGGGAGTCAGCTGAGAAAGAAAACTGTTCTACAGATTCCAAGTTAATGGCAGAACATCTAATTGTGAGTCTAGGACAGTGTTGGACATTGTCATTTAGAGAACAGCATTCACAAACTCTGAGCTCAGTTCTTTCAGCTCTTCAGTCTGGAGAAACATAGCATTTAGAACACAATAATAAGAAAATTTGCCAGAGCAAATGTGGTATAGTAGTTAGAGTGTTAGACTAGACTTGAAGAGACCAAATTTAAGAGTTCATTCAGCCATGAAGTTCTCTGAGTAACCACAGGCCATTTATTATAGTTTGGCTTTCAGCTTCTTTTGAAGTAATGAAAAAAATATATATTTAATTATGTTTCTCATAAATTACCTTAGTTAACTCTACATACTGCAACTTTGTTGGGCATATCTGTGCTATTGCCTCACTCAGCTTCTTTTTACAGAAAGGTGTAGCATTTTGGACAATTAAAATTCACCTACTCACAGGTAGTCTTCGACTTATGCCCAAAACTGGGACCAGAATTTTCATTGCTAACCACTAAACTAGGCAGTTGAGTTGCAACCACTTTTGTGACTTTTTTGTGTAAATTTTACAAACTTCTACAGCCTTTTTTGCCATGGTTGTTAAATGAATCACTGCAGTTGTTAAGGAAATCACATGGTCGTTAAGCAAATGTGACTTCCCCCATTGACTTTGCTTGTTGGAAGCCAGCTGGGAAAGTTCCAAATGGTGATCACATGACCCTGAGACTTGATACCTGATACTGCATGCAGTTTTCTTGATGGAGTTTCAAAAGCGGTTTGCTATCACCTTCTTCTGGGACATGTATTCAGTCTTATGATCTAGCCCAGGGGTAGGCAACCTTGGCTCTTTTATGACTTGTGGACTTCAATACCCAGAATTCCTGAACCAGCCATGATGACTCAGGAATTCTGGGAGTTGAAGTCACAAGTCATAAAAGAGCAAAGGTTGCCTACCTCTGGTCTGGCCTAGAGCACTGGTTCTGTCTAACGCTATCCCATCCAAATAACCAACCAGATCCTAATCCTATTTAAGTTTTCTGCCTAGCTGAGATTGGCCCTATCTTTTGCTTACTGTGTTGTTTTTCTACTTGCACGGGATTCTTAATATAAGGCAGCATTAAAAATTATTACTTCTCTTGCCTTGAATCCTTTACCTCCTCGTTCAACTATATGTTCAAATGAGGTTTCAGAAATCAGGATATTCAGATATCAAGATATTCGGATATCAAGATATTCAGAGATCAGGTTTCAGAGCTAAGGATATTTCTGCAGTTCAAAATTAAGATTAGATTAAAATTAAAGAAATCCTGATACCTACGTTCAAATGTAGTTCAAATGTTTCTGAACTACATCTCCTATCAACCCTTTCAGTCACCATATTAATTTGGACTATTAGGAGATGTTGTTGGACAATGTCTACAAGATCACAGCCTTCTCTTATCGGTTCTACTCAGTGCATTATATGGCGCTGATTTTCTTACCTAGAGAAGCCAGCATGTCATGTAGATCCTCTTTGTCAATGAATCCATCACGGTTTTGGTCAATCATATTAAAAGCCTCCTTGAACTCCTGGATCTGGGATTGGTCGAACATGGCAAAGACATTGGAGGTGGCACGCTGAGGGCGCTTCTTGGTGGTCTTTGCCTTGGCTCGCTTGCTGGACATTTTGATGGTGTTTTTGTTAGCCTGTGAAACAAAATAGAAATTATCAGAAAAGAAGTCTGAATAACCCACCCACCCCAAAAAAAACACCTTTTTTCTCATTTCTTGCATCCTTTGGTTTTTCATCTAGGAATCTCTTAAGAGATTCTCAGTGTCTCAGTGTTTTACAATGTAGACAGCATCTTATATGGCATTATAGCTCCATTGAATTAAATTGGATTTCTTCATAAACCTTCAAAAAGCTATGCTAACTTTGGCTCTGTTCACACAATACACTTCAATAGGCTAGTAAAAGATTTAGCAACTTCATTTACAGAACACATGAAGTATAGCTAATTATTTTTTGTCAGCTATGTTTTCTTTTAGACATCATACAAATCCGGCCTGTTTTGTTGGTGGTAAATATATTCTATGAATACAGAAATTGGATTAATTCAGTATTTGGGTTAAGTATGCTGTGTAAATGGAGTTTTTGAAAAAAATAATTTGTTCTTGCAGAGTTTTAAGTCTCCAATAATTGTGAAATCATTATGTGATGTTGGAAAAATAAAGCTGATTCATTTGCTATGTTCCATTTTCCTGGAACACAATAATGTATATATTTTTTAATCAAGAGTAAACCTCCTGACCCACTCCAAGTATCTTGCACTACACATCCTGCATCCTTTTGCTATTGGCCATGTTGAAGTTCAAACATGTGGAAGTCATCAGATTGCCACTATCTCTAATAGATAATTATAAATTTACTCATGTCTCTGGAATATGTTAACATTAAACAAGAAAAAAACATTTCTTTTTCATCTACAGATTCACAACTGAAAGATATACCTACTTATATGTCATAAACTAGCTTTCCCCAATCTAGTACTTTCTCAATATATTTATAGGCAAGATCCATAACGAATCTCTGGTTATTTTGTAAGATCCTAAATTTATGTTGCAGCAAAAATAGTAAATATAGTTCTCCACCTGGAAATTTTTTCTACGTATCTACTCTAATATTTAGATATTTCAGATCTTAGAGAACATCTGACATCTAGTACTGATATTTACCGTATTGGCAAAAGTAACATTTTGAATTTCCCAACTGAATTATTATCCCAAACAGCACTGCAGATTCAATAAATTAAGTAGTTTTTTGTATCATGAACACTGTTAAAATCAGTAATCTGTTTCTAAGTTTACAGTCTAGTACAGATTCATCCTGGTGAAATGAGGAAGCTAATGCCACCCCCACTCCCTAATCTGCACACTGAAAGCAGCTTTTAGCACAAGAACACTCAATGTGGTTGGGTTAGATCAAGGGTAGTCAACCTTGGCTCTTTTATGACTCGTGGACTTCAACTCCCAGAATTCCTGAGCCAGCCATTCTGGGAGTTGAAGTCCACGAGTCATAAAAGAGCCAAGGTTGACTACCCCTGGGTTAGATGGAGCTGCCATTTTAATTTTAAGTCACTTTTCAGTTTGTAGACGGATCTAAGATTGAGGGACGTAAAACACGTAAGAAATCAACAGGTTTAAATTATGGAGTTCCAAGGGCTGCTGCTGATACTCAGCAGCTCCTTGGTCAGCATAGATGCTTCAAGCTGAGATTGGGAAAATCTGCTTGCTTTTCTCCTTCTCAGAGCCTTGCCTCCATCTGAACTAATCTCAGGCTTCTTCCAATTTTCTAGCTGCTCTACAAGCTCACAAGGAAGGCTCCATCTCTTGTAGCTCAGCTCAGAAATAGGAGGAAATGCGTTATCTGTTTGGAGCAGATTCCAGGCATTCCATTTGCCTCCCTCTTACACCCTTTGTCTAGCCTGGCATGCCGATCTGTGCTGTTTCTTTGAGCTACCCCTACAGCTTGTGAATAAGGATTACAAGCACTCAGTTCATCAAGCAAAGGGGAAGCCTGGAGACAGGGTTATGGGAGGGTATCCCTATATCTCTTTTTACAGAAGAGAAGGGGTTGAACAAAGTAAGCATCTTGAACCGTTAATACCTGGTTATAATTTTCTTTCACTATGAAAGAATGGCTGGATTTTGGTTGAATGAAGTGATTATTCCTAGATTTGTGACACTCCTAAATTAACTCTTTTTCAAGAACCAAAATTCCTGTCGCTTTGTAAAGAGAGAATATTTTATTTTTATTTACTGATTTTTCCTTTTTTATGTAAGGAAATTTATATAGTTTTCCAACCTATATCTTTGTAGGTATCTCAACCAAGTTTTTTTCAGTTCCACGTCGGTACGTTTGACGGGGAAAAATACACAGAACACTTGTGGTAGAACTAAAAAATATAGCTTTTTCTACAGACCCCTTTACTGAAGGAAAATGCAGGATCTGCCCTCTGTGACAACAGCACAGATGGGATGCAAAAGATGGAACAACAAACAAACAACAAAGTAAACTGGGGGGGGGGGGTAGTCAAAAAGAAACTCCAGTGATTCCAACCATCTTCCTCTAAGAAAGCCCACTTCACACTTTTGAAGACGGGCATGTACCCTAACATATCAATTCTGTAACCAATCAACATAAAAGAAACATTTCAAAGCAAGCCCATTCATCTCTTACTAAGGTCCTTTATACGAGTTATACGATCTATTTATATACCTGTTACCTTTAGTGAGTAGTCATGCAATATTGTGATTTTAACTTAAATAAATAGCATAGAAAACCATAATTGCAAATTGACTACTCTGATCTGTTAAATTAGTCCAGATAAGCAAATGACTATATTTGCCACTTCATGGGACAAAGGCTAAGAGATGACAAATTTTATTTACAAACCCGACCACGCATTGCTGTGGCTCAGTCTGGTTAAATGGAAAAGAAAGAAAAGAGAAAGCGCACGTTTGTAATATGTTTAATTTCACAATGCTTGTGCGCATACAATTTTTTTGTTGTTCCATTGTCTGTGCAGATATAGAGATTGTCTGGTTTGCCGACTCTAGAACACGCAACATATAATTGTCCATGTGAGAAGCAATCCGTGTCTAGATCTAAACCGCACAATTCTAAACATTGGCCCTGAGCTTTGTTGATGGTGATTGCAAACGCCAATCGAATTGGGAATTGCAATCTCTTAAATTGAAATGGCATATCCGTTGGAATCATAGGAATGCGAGGAATGAGGACATCTTCACCTTTGAAAGGTCCTGTCAAGATTGTTGCTTCTATGACGTTGCTCATTAAAGCATGTTTTTATGCTTTAAAGAGCATGTTTTTACCTGTCACAGGTGTGACATCTATATAATAGTAGGTATATAAAAACACGCGCATATTCGAATGCAACGTTGTATCAAAATTTCAAAGCAATCAGTGAAGAACGTTTGGAGATTTAAGATTTTGAACAAACGAACATTTACATTTTTATTTATATAGATTAGAGATCAGGCCTCCCTTGAGTTGAACTTGATTCCTGATAAATGTAGAAACATGTTGGCAGAAGGGCATTCTTATTCTTTTTCTGAAATATTTTGTTTAATTTCTCAGTTTAGTCAATAACCATGGGATTTCTTGGTTGTCTATTGTCTCCTTTGCAACATATTTGGTCGAGGTGAAAGGATTCGAAGAAACAGGTTCTAGTCGGTAACAACCGATACACGACGATAGACTCTTAAAAATATCGTGTAATTGGTATTGTGTTTAATATTAAGGGTCGTAGACCTTGACTTTCACCTTTCGGTTTACATAGGCTGAACTAAAAATTTTACGGTACCTAGAAAGGTAATGGGTAATTGGATGTTTCTTGCACTTAGAGATGTAAAAGTATTTGCAAAGCACACAACTCATGCTTGAAAAGACTTTCATCATGCTGTCCTTGTACAATGGCATGCTGTTATTTGTTTAAAAGACATTGAAAGTTATCCTACAATGATTTGTAATTGGACAGTTTTCATTTTAGACAGGTCTCCCAAAGGAAAGGGATTAGGAAAAAAAGAAGAGAGGAAACGAAATGCAAAGCTGTAAAGTGGTATTAATGGGCAGCTAGAACAGAATTCATTTGAAGAAAGGAATAGACAGAAATGGTGTACTGTTTTTATAGCCAGTGGATCCATAAGTGGAGATCTAACTAGCTGGTCTGATGGAAACAGCACTGGATATTGTAGCATAAGACACATCCCTTTCTGCATTCATCACATCACAATGTATGAACAAATAAATAACTTGGGTTAATGCTACAATGATGCAGTGTTGTTTTCATGATTCTGAACTGAGGAAATGCCTGTGTTTGCTTCTGACCCAATGTTGCAGCCCTGCCTGGTAAATGGCTGGGCTTCCTATTATGGTAACTACCTTCTTGAATTTTTGAAGACCGTTCCAATAGACTCTTTTGTCAATATATGAAAAGCAGATAAAAAAGTTCAAAATGTATTTTCCTCTATGGACATCACTTATTTTCAGCCTTAAATGTCTGCTTTTCTCTTTGCTAAGTCCCTCTGCCTAGTGATGGCACCAGATTCTCACAGTCATCCTTGTTGATTTGAAAGCTGGGATATGTTTTGTCTTGGGGTAGAGAGGTACCCAAGACAAGGTGGCTCCTTTCTGTGTTACTTCCTCTCTGAGACCCCCATAGGCAGGCACAATTTTCCCCAGAGCTAAATTACTTCTAGGGAGGTTTTGTTTTTGCTTTAACTCCTTTACGTGGGTGATAAGAGTTTGACCAGGAGTTACCTTTTGAGGGGCTGAACCAGGGCTTAGAAAAGAATTTTAAACTACACACACCCAAAACATGTATCCAAGCACTGATTGCAGAGTTCAAAGGCTGGCTTTTAGTGCAGGCCAGGAAAGGACCCTTTTCTGCAGCTCCAGGAAGACAGGAGGTGAGATGATTAGTTCAAGGCTGGGACACACCTCTTGCTACAAAAGACATAAAAGCCCCTTTGTCCTACTGCCTTCAGTAAGATTTTAGGATCATAGGGCTGGAAAGGATCTTGAAGATCTTGTAGTCCAATCCCCTGCTCGGGCAAGGAGCCTTACACCATCCCAGTCAAATGGTTGTCCAGTCTATTTTTGAAAACCTCCAGTGATGCAACAC